CGTTGAGAAAAATATTTTAACTGTTGTAATGTTGCAGCAACTTTTCTGTAAAACTAAGTTGAGGCGGTGAGCGAAGTCCATTAAGTTGTCCCGACATAACACTAGCTCCATCGTAGGTTTGAACAATTAATTTAGCCTTACAGTCAAATTGACCAATTACACTAAACAGTAAGTCACGTAACGCTGGAGCACTTCGGTCTTCCCCTAGATAAACAAAACCTAAGAAATATTCTTGAACAACGCCTTTTGTGTCCACTAATCTGCATACTATTGAACATTGTGCCCTTTCAATAATATCGGTTGTTTCATCAAGAATGCATCCAAAAATGTGGAGTTATTTATGGCGTTCTCGATAAAAATATGAATTTCGTCTTTCACTAGATCGATTAGTTCGTTTTATATCGTTTTTGAGATCCCCTTTAAAATTCCCAGGATTTAGGGAATCATCGGATTCGTCGTGGTCACGGAAAGCCAATTCATGTTCCGCTAAAGTACAAGTTAAAGAAAGTAATTTTTTAATGATTTCTCTGTTGCGGATAGTCACACCAAGGAGAAGATTTACTGCTAAGGTACCCATTTAAAATGGTTTGTATGGTCTATCCTCTCTCCATCGACCAGGTTTACTAATTTTGAATGCCTTTTAAGTTCTCTGCGATGTATCATCCATGTTGCTTTCGCATAACAGAAATATTTGGTTCTATAGAAAACCGACCAGGCTAAGGTGGCTGCATTTGGTGGTCCTGCTTTTCTTTGGCACTATTATGAACAGTGACTCCAATCCCTCATATTGTATTGTTCCTTCGTTGTAATTTTATTACAGAAAGTTATTAAATAGATAATTATTTCCCTGTTCAAAAGCTTAAGCAGAACAGCAGCATTAGTTAAATATTAATCACAAAAGTAAAATGTTTGTAAAATGTAAAAGTAAATCAAAATCTGTATAGAAAACTAACACATTCTGAAAATGTTTTCAATTGAAGATGCATTTTCTATATGATATAGGATATGATATATTTTTCTATGTAAAATATCTTGGAAAATCTCGCGTCATGCATAACAACACTCACCCGGTAATGTTTCGTATTTTCTTCCATGAAAATGTCACAGAATAATAAACAAACAGAATGCCCACTCTCCACGGAAAATTAAGTACGCGCATCTCCTTCGCGCAGACGTTCCGCCATGTTTTACGAGGATTTTAAAGGGAACCAGTGTTGTTTATGTGGTGTGCATGGAAAAAAAACCAGGTTTATTTGACTTACGGCAATCATAGACATACTATACAATTATATTAACAGTTTTAAATATAATAACATAAATATAATATAATTAAACATAAATGTAAACAATTGCATAACCTCACAAATCATATGTTTGTGTCCAATGACGTATAATATATAGACTACGCAGTCCCCTATTCTCGCTATAGAATCGAGTGTCCGAAAGATCTCGGCTCAAGGTTGAAGGTATGTTTATCAGAACAGCGGCGTGCTCATTTATATGTTAATGACAATAATTATTTTTTTAATTAAAATTAAATATTTATGATTTCTTTTTGTTCCCGTTTATAAGAGAAATAATTATTTTGATAAAATAGTATGGCATTGTACTAAAATAGTAAGTAAATAACTCTCAACAATTTAAAATAAAATTTGCTTGTCACACAAAATGGAGAAAATGTTTTCATACGGCTATGATGTTTTCAAACACAAGATCAACTTCGTGATGCTTCGTAAGAAATCATGAACTTCGTGCATCTTCGTATCAAAACAATAAACAATAACAAAGGTATTCATGTTTTGGACACTTTTTAAAGCGTTCACCGAGTCTATATATTATACGTCATTGTTTGTGTCCTCCTAAAACATGGCGCGCGTGCTGAAAAACTTCAAAGGCGGCATCTGAGAGTGGCCCTTCTGATTGTTTATTATTCTGTGAAAATGTCAAGATTGAGTGTCATATTATGACAACCAAACTTTTGTTAGGTATCTGTAAGAAAGTCATTCTATACGAAAACTAGCTTTGTGTGTAATGTCTTTAATGAAGAGATTCATGACTGACTTGGCTTTAATTTGACCCATGGAAGTCGCTTGTAAAGTTAATCTGTAGGTTATTTTTACTGCTATATTAATCATCCCTCTTTTTGCACGTCTTTTGGAAAAATAAAATTATGTCAATATAACTTATTTTAGGCGTCTAGACTGTAAGGAGCAGAAAAAAAACATATAGGATCAATAAAATCTAGAATTAAGATATTTTTGACCTGTTAAATAAATACTCTTAACACATCACGTGCAATTTTTTATATACTAATAGCAAAAGTAATCTAGACTGAAAAATAAACACCAGGATAAGAATTTTTTTACTTTTTTTCAGTTGCATTGAATGCACGCTATACAAAATCGTAAATATGGTGACAATACATGGCAGATAACACGTATGACAGATAACAATTTTCCGCAAACAAATTACTCAACGGCTAAACTGGTACAAAGATTTACGGTTTGCGAACATAAGCTTAGAATGTCACAATAAGCGATGCAAACGTAAGTATGTACTTATATTCGTAAAAATACAGTTTTAAACAATTTAATACCATCAAATAATATCATCGTAGATAATATTAAACCGCTCGTAATAAATACCGCCCATACCAAAAATTTTAAGAGTTGAATCAGTGAAATGCATGGACGTATAGTGAAATGTAAAAGGATAAAATTCCAAAACCACAACTTTTGGAAAATTAAAATAAACGTTTTGTCTCTTTAACTATTTTTAATAGCATTAAACTCCTAATCACTTTTTTGTAGTATGGGGTAAGCAGAAGATATTTATGTAACAATTAGGTTTTATATGTACACATTTATTAAGTAATTATCTACTATTTTGCTTATCCTTTATGTTATCCTTTTAGAAGTCAAGTAAAAGATAAAGGCTATTTTATTACTACAAACTTATTTATTTACATTTAAATGCCGTTATACAGTTTATTCATCGTCACTTAAATCACTAATAAGACTTTCATCATTCCCCTCTATTGGAATCGATTGGTCCCAACTTAGAATCTTTTCATGGAAATGTTTATGTTCCTCTGGTATGTAATGCATAATCTTTCTGACATCAACGAGTTTTTCAGCTTTTACTGGCAACATTGAGTGATAGACTTAAGCTGTAGGAAACTCCACTCTTCCTCCTTTATACAACTTGAAAGTTCCAACCACGAAAGAATCAATAAATGGACGAGCGTCGACATATATCCATATTTCTCACTGGTATACTGGAAGTGCTTGAATGTACTGATGTTAAAATCGTGTGCCTTGTCTTGGCTTTTTGTAGTTTTCTTGAATATTGAAGGCCACCATTGTTTGAAATCAAGAAAATTTGCATGTTCCAATGGTACTACTAGAAATTTTGGAGCTTTTACTTTAGTTTATTGAATGATGTTATTGTATTGTTCTGATGTAGAAATACGGTCATGTTTACGAATAGCACGTTTTGCTATGGCAAAGTCGCGAAAACGGGGTAAGAAACTATGACCGCGAACTGGGAAATAATTGTGAATTGTGTTAAATATTCCTGTCATTGTTAGTGCTCAGAACATTCTTATAATGGTGTGATGAGGTGGAATAATGAGATGTTTTCTTTGGATATGATCTTGGATTTTTTTAACAATTTTATTCGATTTTCTGAAGTAATTTTCATGGAACTCTCTTTTATCATATGGAAGCTCGCCTTTATTTTTTAAATTAGTGAGACGTTGTAATATTTTATTACTTATTGAATGTAAACTTAAAAATGCCTTTCTACAAACTTCCACTTTTGTGTTGTTTTGTAATGAAAAATACTTGATGAATGTATTTGCTTAGAGTATTTATTTTTAGGCCTATGTCAAGTCACATCGGATCTGTTAATAAGGCCCATCAAAAAAGTGTCTGACTCATTCTTAGGTTGACCATTGTATACAAGTTTAATAATGCCTGCTTTCTCTTCAGCGGAAAATAAATATGTACATTTTTTCTTATATAAACAGTCAGGCCCAGTCTTCCTTTCTTCAACCAAAACACATTTGGAAGTGGCAAATAAACAATTAAATAATTATCTAATACATAATAACATTCCAGGATTCCTTTTAGATTTCACTTCAGGAAAACTAGCTGAATATGATCTATTTAATGCGATGGAATGTTATCTGTCTTTAACTAAGTCTCTAGAGCTTGGTAAAGTGAATAAAACTGCTATCTTAAATCAATTTGGCAAAAATGGAATGTTATCCTTTTAGATCTCACCGATTCAATTATCAACATCTCTTCACTACTTTTGTATTTTATATTCTTATATTTATAATGCTTAATGAGTTTTCTTCAGAAAATCATGTAGGTAAGGTGTTCTAAAACCTTTTTAATATTATCTTATGGGATCAATACATGCTGATATATATGTTATAATTCTGGTTTTATCAGATAACTAAAGTTTATCAGAAAGTATCTACTTACTATGTACTAATATCCCGTAGAATACTATACGTAATTTTCCATAAAATAAATAAATAAATGAATATTAAAAGAAGATGAAATAATAATAAATAATTCATCAAGAAATAAAATAAATTCATGCTAATTCGTCTAATAAAAATAGCAGAGTAAACAATAAAGTACGTACGTTAAAAAATACATAAATATTTATAGTTTTATAATGAAATTATTAATGAGTATACAATAAACCAAAATATTTCAAAGAAATTAATATTCAATGTATTGTTTTGTAATTTTTGTCGGTCATCTGTTGTTATCGCGCGTCAAACGTGCGCCCGTCACGTTCCCATGCCTTCAAATCTACACGTTCCCATACACAATCGCCCAATTATATCCATCATACTTCCACATATTCTAAACACATGGACTTACAATCGGTCTACCGGCCTTTTCACTATTCAAAATAGATTCGAGTCGAGCCTCAGTCACCCTGTTTCCCACGATCGCAAGAACCGCCCCTATAATGCACCTGGGTTCCCCTTCTTATAAAACAAGCGCTACGCCCAGCGGAATCATCATTTTCAGTTCGAACTCGAACGTGTTCACGTCTCGTGTGTCTCCTAGTGCCTTTTAAAAAGTTTACGTAGTCGAGATGGCAAGTCCCGCCGTTTTTTCTCAAGAAGCTCAGCCGATTTCACGCACTTTACAATACCGTAAAGTGATGAAGCCGATGTTAGAAAGAAAAAGAAGAGCCAGAATCAACCGTTGTTTAGACGAACTCAAAGATTTGATGGTATCAGCTCTAGCTACCGATGGAGAAAACGTATCAAAGTTAGAAAAAGCCGATATTTTAGAGCTGACAGTTTCCCATCTACAAAAACTAAAACGTCAACAGAGATTATCCGCCAATCCTTTGGTCGAAGCTGACAGATTCCGCTCCGGATTTACAACTTGTGCTCGAGAAGTGTCGAGGTGCCTAGCGTCCATCCCTGGAGTCGACATCCACCTTGGTACCAAGTTAATGACACACTTGGGTCAAAGCCTTAAGAGTGTTGACCATTTAGATGCCGTACCCGCTACATACACTCCACCAGCATCTCCTGTCTACGACGAAGGTGTCCACTACCCTGCGCCTGTGTCACCCTCTTCTTCGAGAAGTACATCCAGCCCTATCAACTGTCCCAGTTTCACAGACAATCAATCAGTTTGGCGACCGTGGTGATTTCGGACTGTTTTTCAAAGTTTATTTCAAATTCTTTGCTCAAATCTGAAGCTTTAATTATTTTTAATGTTTATGTAAGTACTTATTATTAATTGATATTTGACTGTGATATATTTCTACTTTAATGATAGGGCTCATGTCTTCCAAATGCACTGCAATAATTATGTATTTTATTGAAAACAGATATTTTCTAATGTTGATAACATTTTTTAATTATTAAAAATAAAAATCTTTGAATTATACATTTCTGTGTTTTTATTGGAACTTTGTTTAGTTCTAAGGGTAGCAATTTCTTTACATTGAGAAAGCAAAAAACAAAAATCCTTTTAAACCTCTTATGATTACATTCATAAGTTCATATCATGTGCAGAAATCATTTAAAATTACAGATAAAAAAGATTTCAATCCTTATTATTTTTTATTATTCTTTTTTCTTGTTTTTTAAATCATGCAATTTATTTAAAATTATTAAAGAAGTGTTTATCATAGTACAAAATTATGGATTGTTATAACAAAAGAAGAAATAGCAAAATATAAAGATAATTATAATTGTGTGAAAAACCATTAATAACCAGGTATGTAAAAACATTTTGTAATATTACATTTAAACAAGTGTGAAAGTAATTCATTATTAAAGAAAGATATCCTAAAAACTGGAGAACCTGATGTTGATGACAATGATATAAATATCAAACATTAACTGTTTGTGAAATATGGTTTTATAGCATATAGGTACCGAAATAGGTTTACAAATAACTTTTTAATTAATATTTTATATAACTTATATAGATACAAGGTTGAGACATAACGAAAACTATTTTATAATTAAGACATTTCTTTATTATTTGAAATTTGTATTGGATCTAAACCGTTTTTAAAATAAGTTTCTATACAATGGAAATGAAACAAACTCATTGAGTCCTTCTCTTATTTTGTCTGACAATTTTATTTAGAACATTATTAGAATATAGTTCCTTAAATATATGGAAGCAACTAGCTTGTTCAGAAAAATAATTATAGCAGTGATTAGTAGTACAATCAATAGTAAAACTCTGAATTAATAGTAAACCATCTTCATATATTTCAAATTACTGATCAGCAGTAGTACAGGAAGAATCTGTTTTGCACTGGACATCTTGTGATTAATTTTTGATTTCACAAAATCTAAGAAATCGAAAATGTTTGCTTTTTGCGCCCATATTTTCTACTATAATAAATAGCTCGAGAGATGTTGCCCTACAAAAGAAATTGTAGAAGGGTGAAGTTTCATTTTTCAATTTTACATAATATTTCACTTACTAAAATTTGATAATTTAATGTTTATTGTATAAAAATAGCAATAATTGGGAAAAAAGTGCAAAAAATGGAGGTTTTTCTTTAAATTATTTCGACCTCTTATACATAGCTTAAAGCCTTCATATTCTGCTTAGAAAAACTCTATAATACGAATGAAACGTATGCTAAAAATCGTTAGGATCAGTTAATAGTTGTTGCATAATAATTTTGCAGTCAAAGGTCCGCAAAAATAATTGCAAATTTGCAAAATTATGCTGGGTCCAAAATAACCAATTTAAATAGTCGAAAATTATTTTAGATACTTATAAAGAAAAGCTCAAGCTTTTAAATGCACTTTGAAAAATTGAAATCAGTCTAGGGCAAGACTTCCCAAACTTATTCGTACAGTGACGCCCTTGGGACTTTGCTATTTTTTTGCGACGCCCCCTCAACCCAACCTCCAATAACACTTACCAATTTTAGTACTAGCCTAGTAACAGGTTAGAGTTATAACAAAAACACTATTTGAACATTTATTTTTTTATTAGAAATTAAGAACGAAATCAAAATAGGCACAAAAATGAAAAGGAATATTTTTGTATGTAACTGGCTGGTTTATGTGGGAGATGTGCTTGCTTTTTTGAGCACAGCTTATGAAACCGGGGTTCTAGTTTGGGAATTGCGACTCTTATTCCTTTTTCTAAGGTTATATTTGACCTGTACTTGTTTTTAATTACTACAACTGCAGAAAATCCCGTTTCGCTTGGGAAGCCCTGCTCTAGGGAATTTTTTAAAGATATAAAAAATTTTTGGCTTGTAAAGAAATAAAATAACTTTGCTAGTTTCATACATATCCATCTCAAAATTTGTTCACTTATAAAACCTTGAAAGACACTTCTTTAAAAACAAATTAATACATTCAGTTTATTGGTTGCTGAGATATTCAAGACGATGTATTTGCCGCCTAACCATAAGTAATAGAGGGTTCGTTATTAAACAAATAACCTTGTCTTGTCAAGAACTTTTTATATAAAAATTTTGCGAGATATGCCTCGTGACAACATGCATAAAAAAGACAATAAAAAAATCGTTTACGCGTAAAAAGCCGCTGGAAGTGCATGAGAGGTAGGATAGGGGTAGATTTCGAGGCGCGCCGGGCGAAAAGTGAATCAGCGAGTTCAAAAACACAAAATGCTCCAAAAATTATATTTTCTCTCATCCGATTTTGATGCTTTTTTTTAAATCGATGTCTCAGACGGCAGGGATTTTAAATATGATATTTTCGAACACCTATTTTAATTGCAAAACAAGAAATTGACAGTTACTTACTAAAACTTATAATGCGAGCACGTGTTTTATATTATTGAACTTTATCGATAATTATTGTTTTAAAAATCGGAAAAAATGCCTAGATCTGGTGGGATCACAGCAAAACGGACATATTGAAATAAGCATATAATATGAAAAGAAAATTCAAAGATAATCCGTTTACTGCAGAAAACAATCTGAATTACTTAGTTTCTCGGCAAAATTGAAGTTAAAAATAAGAAATTTTTTAAAAATCCTTTGTAAAAGGTATATATTTAGAACCCAAACGAGCTAAGTTGAAAAGATAAAACGCTTTCGGAATCCATATTCCATCATCAGTGTCTAAGAGTACATGAATGTAGCCACCAAATATATGGGTAAAAACCCGTTAACAAATAATTAATTAAATTTAGTTTACAAAATTTCTTATAATGATTTAAGATGTTAAAGTTACCGTTGGATTAGGTAACATGGCGACATATGACTCCACGTTGAAGTTGCTAGTCTTGAGACAGTGTGTCTACGAAGACTGAAGATAGATTTCAAAATTTTACTATTGATTGTGATATTAATCATTGCTTTAATTATTTGTCTGAAATAAAATTGTCAGACAAAATAAGAGGAGAAATATTAAATAATGAGCTAGAATGTGTTTCTTTCATTTCCATTGTATAGAAACTTATTTTAAAAACGGTTTAGATCAAATACAAATTTTATATAATAAAGAAATGTCTTAGAGATACAACAGTTTTCAGTATGTCTCAACTTTGTATCTATATAAGTTATATAAAATATTAATTAAAAAAGTTATAATAATATAAAGTTGTAATTATAAAAAGTTATATTTGTAAACCTATTTCGGTATCTATATGCTATAAAACCATATTTCACAAACAGTTAATGTTTGATAATTATATTATTGTCATCAACATCAGTTACTCCAGTTTTTTTGGACATCTTTCTATAATAATGAATTACTTTCACACTTGTTTAAATGTAATATTTTTACGTACCTGGTTATTAATGGTTTTTCATATAATTATCTCCATGATATTTTGCTATTTCTTCTTATGTTATAACAATCCATAATTTTGTAATATATGATAAACACATCTTTAATAATTTTAAATAAATTGTATGATTTAAAAATTAAGGAAAAAAAAATAAAGATTGAAAACTTTTTTACCTGTAATTTTAAATGATTTCTGCACATGATAATATGAACGTAATTATAAGTTATGTAAATGTTAAACAACTTTTTTTAAATTATACGTCATTTTCAAATAAAAATATATTTTCAAATTTAATAAATTAATAATTATTATATAACTGCTGACCAAACTTTTGTGCTGGGTAATACGTTGTTTTAATCATTGGCTTGTCTGTCCTATATAGCAACTTTCGCAGTCTAAAAATAGTATTTTGTAGATTGTATTGGTAGTGTACATTACTGATGTCATCTTTTACACGAGAAAACAAATTTTTGTTATTACAACCGCTGCACCTACCAATTCTGATGTTAGTGTATTGTTCTGTCTTAGATAGTGTATGTTGGCTGTAATCTTATTTGTTAGATTAATAACGAAGGGGAAACTTTTATATTTAAAGTTTTGTCGAGCATCTCTATCCAATGGTCCATCATAATAGTGGAAGTTGTAAATTAATTGTTTAAGTATCTTCGCATAAGCGGTGTTAATAAATATCTCCAACTAATTTGATCTATTACTTAAAAACTTACTTAAAATTATTTGGAGCAAAATTAAAGATTCTGTTATAAAAACACAGAAAGAAGGTCTAGAGAAGAAAATAGAAAGTCGAAAACCTTGGATGACTCAAGAAATACTGGAAATCATGGAACAAAGAAGAACATATAGAAACAAAAACCCAAATAAATATAGAGAAAAACATAAATTTACCTTTTTTAAAACCTATAGAAAATGTTCATTATGGCCTGCTTTTCGACAGATTCCACCTAGACTATGGATCAGTGAAGTTAACAAATCACATCATAAATATTAAAAGGCAAATAATCAAGCCATTAATAGGTATTATTACTTGTTCACGAATAACTACTGAGTTTCTAATGCCAAAATTACTTCTAATTGATTTTTTTAGAACAAAGATCTTCATTGAAATATCTTTTAATATAAACTGTGTATGGTGTATTATTTATAAAAGGACATTTTGTAAATCATGTACAGGAAAATTTATATGACGTTAAAAACCAACACACACCTACAGATATTTAAATTTCAATTCGAGTCACAACATAAATATTAAAAAGGGGTCATTAAATCATATGCTAAACCTTTACTTGTTTAGAGGCAAAATCTTTTAGTAAAAAATGATCATATTTTGTCATTTATAAAGAATTTAGCTTAGAATAGACTTTGTTACTAAAATATAATTACATAAAATTGTATATAAAATATAGTATTGTACTAAACAAATATTA